ACCTTTTGTACGTGGCGCAAATACTCACTGACAGCGCCAAAATGCGACAGAAGTTCCGGCTCGACCTTAAAAAAAAACAATTTTGCAACACTGAGCAACAGAAATTTTTTGCACAAAAAACGGAAAACTGAACGAAATTGACAAAAATAAAGCACGCGCGTCGGGCAGAAAATATTCCTTCACAAATCTCCAATTTCATAAATTAGGAGGAAAGATTTCAAAAGTGCTCGAGCCCAGATCACAATGCTGTATCAGTGCACGCACCTTTCATTAGCTTTTTTTTTAAAAATTCCCACAGAAAATATCGAAATACTTGCCAAAGAAAGTGCCATTGCGAGCTCTTCGTCTTCCTTTGATGGCATTCCCTCATGAACATAGATCGGTTCTGGTGAGGTCGGTGGTGTCACGTAGATGTTTTCCGTCATCTCACTTTTCTCCGGGATAGTCACAACCAGCGATTGCTGCTTCCCAGAAACATCCTTGTTGGATGGTGCAGCAGCTGGCAATACGATATTTTCGGCATTTTTTGCTTTGTCACCATCCGCTGTGAAGCTGTTTTCACGTGTTTCAGCCGTCCCTTGCACATCGCTGTCCAGATGAAGGGCGCTTAATCTAAAAAATCGAAATCTTTACTTCAAGAAAATTGATCCCCCATACCCAAAAGCGACAGGGTGCAAGCAGAAGAAACTAGAAAACACAAACGCATAAACAGACAAGCATACGCACACATATCGGTAACATCTCCCACCAAAAAAAATGCTCCTACTTTTTATTTTTTACGATTATGCACAAAAAGCACCGTGTGTGTCCCGTCCCACAAGCACTAGACGATTTTCAGATAAGTTTGATTTTGTCCTCAAATCATCTTTGCCCAAAACTGGAATGCCTTTTTAGTAAAGCATGCGGGAAAAAGTAAGCTTTCTCTTCTCTCTCTTTCGCGCGCATTAGTCAGTTACTAGGCGGAAAATCGTTCTGCCGAGAAAAATAAAAATTAGTGTTTTTCAAAGGACTTACGCAAACATACGTTGTTAAGCTGCACAGTAAATGAGTGTGTCAATACCTGGGAAGTGTTAAAATGCATTAGAAGTGGAAAAATAAGTTCGGAAGCGTTAATGTGACCCCATAACACCTTAGTAAATATAAAGAAACGGACATGTTAATGTGCGGGGGGAAAAAATGACCACTCGGAGGACCGCTGAAGAACCATACAATGTGCACGAGACGACTAGAAACTAGGGGTGGGCTGTGCAGTTGAGATGGTCAGCCTTTAAATTTAATACGGATAAGAAAACGCTATAGTGATTATCACGCACGTGTTGACGTTACGAGCGTTGGAAAACCAAAGAAAACGGACATGCTTCGGATATTTGCAGTCCGAGATTTTACCTCGAATGGCCTGCAAACGGTGCAGTGTTCTGCAAGATTTT